CCTCAACGACCGTAATAAAACGATCCAATTCGTTCTGGCGAAGAAAACATCCCAACTTTTGGCACTGAAATCTTTCCCCCATTTTTTCCCCAGAGATTTTGGTTGCAGTGGATTTGAAGGTTTTTTTAAAGGTGTTTTAAAAAGTTTAAAAAAATATTTTTGAAAAGAGGGCTTTTATAAAGACTTAGAATATAATTATTCAGCTTTAACGTGAGTTTGTCTGCATATTTTCTTCCTTTTTTCTTCGTCGCCATGTCAGTACATTATAGTTATAGACGCCTTTAGATCTAATTAAAGAAGACATTAGTACTGTCCTTAGTTCCTTCTTTCTTTCTTTCCTTCCTTCTTTCCTTCCTTCCTTCCTTCTCTTATCAAAACAGTTAAATAGAGTACCCACTATTTCAAAAAACAGTTGTACGATCCCAACTAGGTTTTCTTTTTTCATTTTCATTATCTCCGCTTTTATTAGCGATCTCTAGTTGGCCAAACAAAAATCAATACACTGAACAAGTTTGTAAGTGTTCAAGACCTTCATTTTGAAAGACATCTCAAACAATTCCTGTCAGTAGCTGATGTTCGTAAGTTTGGATCCAAGGACAGAAAGAGCTACCAAAGCTATTTAGTTAGTGATCTCTAGTTCGCAAAACTACAGAATCGGTACTTATCAAACAATACATCTCAARCAGGTCGATTCAGTAGCTGATGTTCGTATTTCGGATCCGATGACAAAAAAGAGTGGTCAAAGCTTATCGCTATGTGGCATCTAGCCATGACCGCATAAGAAAAAAAAAAGAAGAACTGAAGTATTTTGGATATCTAACGAGAAGTGTGTGCTGTTTGAAAACAAGCCGTCCTCAAAACTATAGACCTTAAGCCCCGTTTACACTAGCGATTTTTGCTGCGATTTTTTTTTTCGATTTTGTCCATAATAAATAATGGTAAAGAATTTACTTGTAAAGTTTTTTTCAGGATACCAAGATTTTCCTAGACGAATGTCTTTTTTGAAGGATGAGACAAAAGATTTCATATTTCCGAAATAATTGCCACAAAAATTGCAGCAAAAATCGCCAGTGTAAACGGGGCTTTAAATTGATCTTTACAGAAAATGCTTTATATAATCCTAAAAGAAAACAATCCAAGATAAGTTTCACAACAACAGGAATTATTTAAAAAAAACCATTAGTTATCGACAAACGTTATTACGATTTTAAAATGATGCAATCTTAAAAAACACGTCAATGTTTACTGCGTATCCTTCTCGTCACATCCCAGAACTAAAACTCTGACGAACTTGAGCGCCTTCTAAAACAATCTTATCCTAGTTTTTTTTTCTTTGAACTTCTCTTCGTCGGCTCTGAGCAAACCAACATAAAGCAGTGGGGTTTTAACGAAATGTGCAAGTCTATAAAACTGTTGCTAAATTATATTTTTTGCTATGAAATTAAACGCGCAAGAAAAGCACAAACGCGGCAATGTTACTGAATACGACTTACGTTAGTTTTCACGACCATTTTCTAATTTTTGTGAGAGCCTTCTTGTCGAATAAAAGACACTCTTTTGTTAGATTGCTTAACAGTTTTTGAAAACGTTATATCAAAAAGATTTAAAGAATATGTTTTTCGGGGAAAACAAAACATGAATAGAGAAAAAAATCAACAAATTTAATATCTTATATATCCAATTGTCTTTTTTTTTAATTAATATTCTTTAAAGGTTATAATTCATTATTTTTATTCATTGAACTTGTTTTTATCTTCGATATCATCTGGCCATTTAAAGCCAGTGTTTAATGGAACGTATAAAGGAGACAGAAAACGCGACAACAACGAACAGCGGGTTTTGGCTATGAATCTTTGATATCTTGGGCGAGTTAGGGGTACCACCATCACCAACACTTAAGCAACGTTTTCAAAGAATAGAAACACGGTTCAAGACAGTATTAATCGCAAAAACACTTTAAAAAGTTTGATAGTCGGCTTACAAACGTAAATTGAATTAACTCGTGATAGTGGAAGATGATAGCCAAGTTATATTAGGAGGTTTGCTCGTGTTGTTTTTCAAATGGCAAAGGCTTTAAATCAATTAGAGCAGTGCGTTGCTGTCGTTTTCCCAAACAATTGAAAATTTGTTGTTTTGAACTGAAATTCAAAAGAGTACGACAAGAGTTATCATTTTGCTTCTAGCTTGTTCTTCTTGTTGGTYTTGTTCGTGTTGGTCTAGGCTTGTTCTTTTTGTTGGTCTTGTTGGTCTTGTTCGTGTTGGTCTAGGCTTGTTCTTCTTRTTCGACTTCGTCTTCTCCGTCTTGTTCTTCTCCTTGTTTAGCTTTGCTCTTATCTGTCTTCTTTCTCCTCCTGCTTCTCWTTTTTTTTCAAATACTTTATTTTGTCGACTTTATTTTTTTTTATTGTCTTTTTTGATTTTTTACTGTGTCATACTTCACAGCGCTTTCCACCGTCGTAAAATTTTATCATCCTTATTCGCCTTCAAATTTTATCTTATCATTTCACATGCAGAAACTTGAACTAACTGTATCGGTTTTGCTGTTTTTCCCCTCTCTTGAAATCTCCAGAACGAATTCTAACTTTGACTCCCTAATAAACAGCTTCAGGATGGGTTCGACGAAATTAGGACAACTCATTTGAACTGATATTTATTTATTGCCAGAGAGAAAGGTGAAAACATGCAATGCACACTGAAGATAACCCAAAGAAAAAATGGACCCTCGAAGAAAAGTAGAGAAAACAGTCAAGCAACTGAACTTATATAAAGGAAATTCGTTCTTTGCTTAATTAATCGACCAGTTTCTAGGGAGACCGGTTGCGTCAGCCATTTAAGATAAAATACACGCAAAAGCTTTTTTCAACAGAGGCACATTCCAAACAGATATCTTTCTTCGTCAATTTTTTTTATTTATTTCAAGATTTATTTTAGATTCATAAACATTCAAGCAATTTTTTATCTAGCTCATGGTTAACTGAAATTTCACAATACAGAGTTAACGAGTTATAAGGAGTTTGTTGCGCAACTTAAAGCGAGCCAGAGTATAAAACTTGTTTTTAAAAGCGTAACACGAAAATCCAAAACAATTCCAGAAGTTGTTATTCAAGTCTTGCAAACAACAAAAGTATAAGAATCTTAATATAAAAAACGAATATAAGAAAAAAAATGTCTATTTTATACGCGCTGGTGTTTTCAATTAAACTTAGTTTGATTATAAATTATGTATTTAGACTAAATGTATTCGAAGAAAAATTAGACAATAACAGTTATTAAATATTGAGCTCCGGTTTTGGCAATGTCCAATTTAATTGTGTTAAAGCATAGCGACATATAACTTTGCTCAAGGCGTTATTTCTATTGTCTGAAACGCAGCTAAAAACAGTGTTAATTGGTTTTCGATATTTGGTAATGTTGAGTTAAAAAAGATAGGTTAAGAGCAGACACCCGATTGGGTGTGCAACGTCTGTCTGATAGTGAAAGACTAATAGAGATTTAATTTAAACATTTTTGTCTTGTTTTGCCTCACTTTCTCCCTCTTTTTTATTCTTCTTCTTTTCTTTAGGGCTTTTTCCTCAGTTTCTTTCGGGAATCTCCTCTCAACTGAAACTTTAATCTATGATCCATCCATCCATCCATCCATCC